ATATATTTTGGAATATTTCAAATTTAAGTTTGGTAATTGATGATATATATATATATATATTTTGGAATATTTCAAATTTAAGTTTGGTATATGATTGTTGGTAAAATTGTTACATGAGGGGTTTGGTATGGAGGCAAATATTTTTTTGATATTTTAGGAAAATAAATTTATTCGAAATGAGAAAATTAATTAATTTTTAATAATGAAAGTTGGAAAAATAAATTTTATAAGTAATATTTTATGTTTATTATCTTCTTTCACCTTCATAATATACCCAAACTCATACACCTTGATCAAAAAAAAATCCTTGGAATGTTTTTTTTTTTTGAAAAAATAATGTAATTACACGATTTAAGATAATATAATCTCTAAAAAAAAATAACCCCTGCAATTTAAATTAATTATAAAAATCCTTTTTTTCTTCTCTTTCTCTTAACCTTCCGGGTACATCTCTTTATCTCTACCAAATACATTAAAAATTTTGTCCATGACTAATGTATCTTAACAATAATAATCTCGAACCTAAATATTATGAATATAATTTATAGTTATGTATCAACTATATGTCTAATACATAATTTGTATATCATTTGTTGTGTATCGAATGAAAGAGCAATGTATCCGAAGAGAAATTATAAACTATTATAGCTTAAGAAACTTTCGAAATATGACGTAATTAACGTCCAAAACATTGGGATTTCTATATTTTGTACTTATGATATTAAAAACTAATATTTTCAAACTTTAGCATCAGACGTTAGAGTAATTACGACATCAATTTATAGTAAAAAATATCAAACTTTATTTCAAACGTTCAAGCCCTTACACCATGTAAAGCGAAACTCAGTATATAACTGGAGAAAGGTCAATGGACAGACTCATAATCCACCGAGTTTAGAAGATTATAATTGGTCCAAAAACAACGTGTCACCGAGTTTAGAAGATTATAATTGGTCCAAAAACAACGTGTCACGAAAGAGTTATTGTATTATAAAAATAAAAATAAAAATAAAAAATTCTCGATACCAATCGCACCTAATCAATTTTCACATTTCCCGCCATTTAACAAATTAGGGCTTAACAAATTCAGCTTCAATATCCAAATCCCCCAAAAATTTTACAAGCAAAGCAAAAAATTAACATCAATGGCGAACCAATCTGATAATTCTGTAGCGTTTTCAGCAGCGGAGGTTTGTTTACTTCTTAATCTTCTCTATAATTTGCTTAAAAATGAATTTATCATTTGATTTTATGCTGATTTATGGTTTTTAATTGTTGTTTTTGCATCTACTAGATTCATCATATAAGCAGTTGGATGTATTTCTCCAACTTGAGCTATATGTAAAATTGGGGGTAGAGGGAGTGGAAATGTGGGGAGGGGAGTTTAGGTAGCTAACCAGTTGAGCTATTAAGATTCTATGTAGATATGTGTGATAAGTATACACAGTAATATTCAAGTACTTGTTTAGAATCCTTGGTTCGCATTTGTTTCAAGTGAAAATTAAGTTGGAAATTTTTCATTTGATTTTGGGTGTGTTGGGTAGGAAGAAAAATGTTTTCCATGTGAAGTGTTCTAATGGGAAATAAGTGGATTTTTTCTTACTTATTTTTTGGTGAAATATTAATCCAACAAAATGCATTTTATGTAATATATTCAAATATGGTAACGGTGGGGCGGAGGGTTGGAGTGTGGGGATGGAGGTTGGGGTGTGTTAGAGGGTGTGGAGGAGACTATTGGTGTGATATGTCACTTATGGAACTTGTTCTTTCTACATATTTAAGGAGGTTGTTTTCCGAGAGAATATTTTCCAAAAACTTTTGACCAACTAAACGCGGGAATACACCCTTTGTGTTGTTTTGTGTTCTTAATGATCTTGGATCAGTGATTTTTAACTTCTTTGTTTCTCAATTATGCAGTTGGAGTTTCTAGCGGAAGATGAAATGGTTGAAATTGTGCCCAACATGAGAATGGAACCTCTCAATCTTATATCTGTATTATTCTACTCCTACAGTGACTAAATTGATTCATATAATCTCGCTTGTATTCATGCTGATTTTTGTTGAAAATGTACCAATTGACAGGGAGATTTTGGACCTTTCCGTCCACAAATAGCAGCACAGGTGCCTCTCTGGCTAGCTGTGGCTTTGAAGAAAAGAGGGAAATGCACCATCAGACCACCTGAATGGATGTCCGTCGGTAAGCTTTTGATTGTTAGGAAAATTTGCTAATCTGTTCTTCCAAATGCAGTGCTTAGTTAATTTATGTTGTGATTCAGATTTGTTTGTTGTGTTTTCTCTGTTACGGAGAAACAGTTAGTGATTCTATTTTACTAATTTGGAGTTAGTTGCTGGAGTTCCTTAGAGTTGTTGCTAGCTCAATTTGTATGTCTGAACAAGGATGTTTGAAATCTAGATCCCTTAAAATAAAGTGTTCAGTATTGAATGGAGATGAGCCAAAATAGAGCGGAATGATAAAGAGGAATCATGTAGCCATCCCCAACTAGTCTGGGATTCAGTTTAATACATACCTTCTTGTGGTTTGGATATTTACTTTATTTTTAGTTTGGTAAGGAGATAATAGTAATGCTACTATACTGGTACACAAATTCTCATGGTCCGTCTTTAACATCTTGTTTTTCCTAGAAATCAGGTTGTTGTATTAGCCTCAGTCAGAGGCATAAGATACTGACTTCTTGTTGGCGAAACTGTTCAGTACTTTGGTTTTCCCCAGCATGCTGTTATATCAGCCATTTCGGATAACAGTATAATGTCCAATACTATTATAGCCCTTGGTTAAATCTTCCTCAATTGCACCTCTAACTGGACATTTAAAATCCCATTCCTCTAGTAACTTCGTTGGTGCTTGAATTACTGGATAATTGTCAAGAACATGCCTTTCTTTACAAAAAGGATGATATTTATCTAAGACAGCAGGTCAAGTTCAACCTGTCAGCAATATGCAAGCAGTCTTTATTTCATGTTTCAAAACCTGTAACTGTTCCACAATCTCTCTTAATAAGTGGAAATTCCAGCTTTAAACTTAGCGGTTGACAATAGATGTGTTGTTTCATTAATTCCAAGAAAAAAAGATTACTGCATGAATGAAAATATTGACACAAGTATAATGGGAAAATCTCCGGTAAAGTATCTGGCTCCTATAACCAAGAGTTTTGTGTCTTCTCTGATTTCCTGTTTGTCTAGGCATAGCACACAAATTACTTCAACCAAGATAAGCCCGCTCTATGTTGTATTGGACAACCAGATGGTTAATTATTTTTTTTTGTTGTTAATCTGATGTGACTAATTTCACACTTGCTCATCAAGCTTTGTCCAGAACTTTAAGGTTTCCTGCTACAGATCATTTCAATTCCAATAGAAATTTTATATTCACTGCTGTCATATAATCATGTAGATTGTACTTGTTAGGTTTCTTACTAATCTCTGCTTTGTCGACTAGAAAAGTTAACCCAAGTTCTGGAGGCTGAAAGAGACTCTGAAAAGTTCCAATTGCTACCATTTCATTATGTTGAAATCTCAAGGCTTCTTTTTGATCAGTAAGTGATTTCTTTTTTTTTCTTTTTTTTTATATCAAGATTTATCATGTTGGTCTACTGATGACACTATTAAATGATTTAGTGCCCGTGAGGATATTCCTGACATCTATATGGTGAGTCAATTATTTTCTCAGTTCAATTGGCTTCAAATATTTAGTAATTCAGCCAGAACTCTTATTCAAACATGCTCAATAGGTGAGGTCTCTTATTGAAGATATTAAGGATGTGCGGTTTCACAAAATTGGAACTGGCTTGGAGATAATTTCAAAGGAGGTCACATATGCGTTGAGGGTATGCTTATTCATTTATCAGAAAATGCTTTTCTCATTCTGATGCATGTGTCGTTTTGATGATCAATATCTTAGTCATGTGAGGAATCTGCCGGGTTTTTTAATAAGGAGGCATATACTGATTTAGTTACATTGGTGCTTATATCTTAAAATATGGAAGCACAATTACCATCCATTCTATTGGAGTTACTCAATACTGCAAATTCAGCTGACGGTCCCGTGGATGATCGGGTGTATTAATTTACAAAATCAATTCCGTTTGAGTTAATAGATGTAGTTTAACTACAATTGAATAACTAATTAAGCCTGAGTTGTGCATTATAAAATTTCTCCCCTGCATAGCTAGAGCTATCTAGAGCTGTGTAGCATTGGAGGAAAGAGATAAGATTAGGAATGAAGATATCGGGGACAAGGTGGGAGTGGCCTCTGTTGTTTACTGTTGCTTCAGTTAATACATTATTTGGCTATTGTTACTGTTCCTTGTTTTGTGAATGCTGTATAATGCTTTCCTTATTATTTGCCATGTCCTCTTTACTTGTGTATTTTTTTTTCAAACTGCTTTGATGTGTTACTTGAGCCACGGGTCTCTCGGAAACAACCCCTCGACCTCCATGATGTTGGGATAAGGTCTGTGTAGACTCTACCCTCCCCAAACCTCACCTATGGAATTACACCGGGTCTGTAATTGTAAAATGCTACATTTTGTCCTGGGATAACTTTGTCCCAGATTGAGAATGGCCAAAGGAAATAGAAATCAGACTGATGATTATAAAGTCGTTCCATGCTTAAGGTGTAGAAACAACTGTAGCATTTGCCATAGCTTCCTATAAGATAATGGAGTGAACCTTTTCATATGACACAACATTTGGGGAGAGAGTGGAGAGGCAAATACATACTGTAATTCTTCCTTTTCTTTTCTGAGGCGGGGAGTGGGTTTAGGGGATTTTCCTTTAGTGAATTTGTGATTTGCTATTTTGAGGAATAAATAGAGACTCTTTCTGGTAGGATCTAATATATTACACCCGAAACTTTACAGCTTAAAAATCTCTCAGCAATGGAGGCAAATATAGTACGTCCATTTGTTACCAAAGCTTTGCAGACATTTCATAAGCTAAATACTACAGAAGCAATACCAGAATCAGGCAGCATTCCAAACAGACAGCGCCAAGCTGTGAATCAGCGGGACAAGGTAAGTTCTTAACTATTTTATCTCCCTTATCTAACCATTCACACTTGTAGTATGAAATTATTGAGTTTTATCATTTTGCTAGCAACAACATTTGTCATATTATTTCGTTGTCATTACTGTCCTTTCCTCTGTGTGTTATGTACCAATCTTCATTTCACATTATTCCATCGTTCTTACTTGTTACTTCTCTCATTTCTATATACCCTTTTTCAAACTGTTTGAAAATGCATTTGTTCAAGCCGAGGGCTATCAGAAACAGCCTCTTTATCTCTACGAGATAGGGGCATACACTCTACCTTCCTCAGACTCTACTTGTGGGTTTACGTTGAGTATGTTGTTGTTGCTAGTTATTCATTTTTTGACGCTGTTTTCTTTGACATCCAGCGCGTACTAAAAGGTCGATGAAACTATTCTCTCTTCACTTTGCCTCATGCTGTGACGCTCCAAAGAGACGTGAATTGAGCATCCATCCTACTAGCAAAGAAAGAACTATTATTAACATGCAAGTTCATTTTGTGTATGTATCATATATATTGCCACTTCTTTTAATCAGCAATGCAATGACTTGTACTATAAATTTTGTGGTTATCTTTGTTACCAGAGATCTCGAGTTTGAGCTCTTGTAGTGTCAATATTGATTTAGTCTGACCCTAATATGGGTATCGGACATCGGGATCAAAAAGCCTTATTTTTCATTAGTTTTGCACAACTTATGCCAAACTAACTTTTACTTGCCTCACACTATAACTAAACAAGAAGTTTTCTCTCTTCCATACATTTGCTTCAACATCGCAAATTAAGCAAAACCATATAATATACATGATCCTCAATTTATTCAAAAATCTCCTATAAATAATCCTTCGTTTTCATTCTTCATTTCTCAATAACAACCAAAAAAAAAAATGGAGGTGTCTAATAAGAAAATAACATCTCCATTATTTACTTTCTTGTTTATTTCATCTATCTTTATTCAATTTTTTCCTTATGTTTCTTGTATAGGTGTTAACTATGGTACCCTTGGCAACAACTTACCCCCACCATCACAAGTTGCTCAATTCCTCAAAGACAAAACTATAATTGATAAAATCAAAATCTTTGATGTTAATCCAGATATCTTAAAGGCCTTTGCTAACACAAACATCTCAGTTACTGTCACTGTCCCCAATAGTGAAATCCCAAAATTGCAAGACATTGGTTATGCAAAAAGCTATGTTGAAGCAAACATTAAGCCATTTTATCCACAAACAAAAATTGATGTAATTGCTGTTGGAAATGAAATCCTTCATTGGGAAACACCAGAAGTACAAAACAAGTTAGTTGGTGCAATGAGGACACTATATCAAGCACTAACACAAAGTGGTATCAACACTGTTAAAGTGTCAACACCCCATTCTTTAGGAATTTTATTGAGTTCAAATCCACCAAGTCTAGCTAAATTTAGACCAGGTTGGGATGTAGGTATCCTAGCACCAATGTTACAGTTTTTACGCGAAACGAAAGGTCCTTTCATGGTGAACCCTTATCCATACTTTGGTTACAACCCTGAACAAGTTGATTTCCTATTGTTCAAACAAAACAAAGGCGTTTTCGACAACTTTAGTAAAAGGACATACACAAACATGTTTGATATGTTGTTGGATGCTGTATTTATGTCAATGAAAAGACTTGGTTATGATGATGTTGATATTGTTGCTGCTGAGACAGGATGGCCATCATTTGGTGAAAGCTTTGAACCACAATGTACTGTGGAGAATGCAGCAGCATACAATGGTGGATTGGTTAGGAAAATTGTTGGTGGAGTAGGGACACCATTGATGCCAAATAGAAAAATTGATACATATATATTTGGTTTGTTTAATGAGAATACTAAACCAGGTTCTAATGCTGAGAGGAATTTTGGATTGTTTAGACCTGATTTTACTCCTGTTTATAACGTTGGAATCATGAAAGGACAACAAGTCTTGCCATTCCCACAACCACCAAAGGTAAACGTCATTCTGTCACTTACAATATCGTTTGCTTGTTTTTCTACCTTCACGTTAGGGCTGTGTATCGGCCGGTTTGGTTCAGTTTTAAAGTTTATCGGGTTGGCTTATTGGTTATCGATTTTGTAGAGATGCTAAACCGTTATAGAACCATTAAGATATTGGTTATTGGTTTATCGATTTTTGATCGTTATCGGTTTAACCGTTAAGATTTGGCACAAAACAAAAAACATTGAAAATCACTTAGAAACAAAGTGATTAACCAAATAAACCATGCACTTGAGTTCACAAGTTATATCTTGCTTAAAAGCAAACACTTTTACATTGTAGAATAATCAAGTATTTGAGACAACCAAAAATAAAAGTAGGAAATTAAAATCTAAGTCGAGGACTTTATATACAATATGGTATAAATATTATTATTTAATTTACTATCATGTTATCGGTTAACCCGTTAAGAAAAAACTTTAGACCGTTAAGAACCCGATAACAAAAAAAATCAAAACCGTCATCAAAAGCACTAACCCAATAATATAAACCAATAACTTTTTTATCGGTTCGACTTATCGGTTTAGATTCGATTTTGAACAGCCCTACTTCATGTCATGTTTTAACGACTCGAACTCTAGAACTTTCTGAATCAACACCATTTTGGTTCATAGTACATATATTATTTTAATGAGATAATTACGGCTTGAACGATTCAACTATCTAATTTACAAAATATGTGAAAAGTGGATATGTGTATATTTTGATACTAAATATACATATAATATGCATTAGTATACACAATTAGTATATATTGTGTATATTTTTGTCTTGTTGGTAAGCTAGTTAGCCGAATAATATATATTCATCAACTTTTTTTTTAAATGTTGTTAGTGCATAAAACTTAAACTCGATTTTATTAACAAGTTTTTTGATTTTGATGTATACAGCCTCTTCCACAACCGCAACCGCAACCGCAACCACAACCAAGAGGCCCAATTCCTGTGGCAAAGCCAGGCCCAAAAGTCCCAGTCCAACCAGCCCCAAGACTACCATCCCATCCAGGCCCAAAACATTCAGCCCGTCCAGGCCCAAAACTGCCAGCCCAACCAGCCCCAAGACTGCCAGCTCAACCAGGCCCAGTATTGCCAGGCCCAAAACCTGTAGGCCCAATGGGGAAGAAATTTTGCATGCCCAAACCACAGGCTACAGATGCACAATTGCAGGCCAGTTTAGATTGGGCCTGCACTAATCAAGGTGTGGATTGTGGCCCAGTTCAAGCTGGAGGCCCATGTTTTGACCCAAATACTGTTAGGTCTCATGCAGCCTATGTTATGAATGCTTACTACCAAATCAAGGGCAAAAATGACATCAACTGTGATTTTTCGGGTTCCGCAGCCATCGTCTTCGCTGATCCAAGTAAGTACTCAACATTTTTTCAATCAGTGTAAAGAATTTTTATACTATTAGATCACTTTGAAAAAACAACATATGTTTATTCAGAGTTTAACTCCATACATACGAACAATGTATAGATCATCAAAAAGACAAAATATTAAAGCACGTGTTAATTTTGCACAGTAACCTAAATATTAAGCAAAATACTCCAAAAACAAGTTAAATCATACAACTGTAAATTTATATAAGTTAATCACTGACGGTATAACATGTTTAACTATCTGTCGTACCAAGTGACCTGTCTTGTTTTCTAAATTACTAATTTCACCTTTTATTGGCTATTTACCTACATTTATCATTGAGGCCATCGTAAATCATAAAGATTCCTTTTGCACTATCACATTATAAGAGTTAAACTCAAAAAATAATTATCTAGACGTAGCTGTTTAAACTATATGAGATTAATAATTAATCTGAAAAAATAAGATAAATAACTTGATATGACATATTACGATACAATATATATATATATATACACACACTTGGATTTTGTTTTAATTGAAAATCTAATGATGTCTTTATTGAATTTGTTTGTGATTTTTTGTAGGTTATGGTACATGCAAGTACCTTTCTTAAATTCTATGGACAAAAAAGGAAGATTTTGAAGCTACTCCAACATTTAAAGGATTAGTTTTGACATATTGAAATTTTGATTTTTAAAGAATTTGTTTCTTTGATGTTTTCACAAACTAATCAAATTATGTTGATGTGTAGTATGTATTTGTTGCAAATAAAACAATAATAAAAAAAATGTTGCCTACTTCATTTGCCATGATTTAAAATTTTATCTATATTCTACATTCTTTAATAATTTGATAAATTAGTTTATCACATTCTACTAAAATTAAACAATAATATAATTACTATTTGAGGAATTAATTATTTTTATTCTTTAAGTGCGATTTATTTAATACTGAAAAAAAGAAAACACGATTAATATTAAGTTATCTATCTCATAAAAAGGCATGAAAATGCTATTGATGGATTAAATAATTCATGTTATACTTAAAATTCAAATTTGTAACTAAATCAAATGAAGCTTATAATAGAAATTGTTTATACATTATTGACTTGTTATAAGTAAATTACCTACAATTAATTTTTTTTTATTAAAATGAGAAATTAGTTCAAGTTGGAGGCCCATATTTTGGCCCAAATAATGTTAGGTCTCATGCAGCCTTTGATTGTGATTTGGCCCAATCTAGAGGCCCATGTTTTGGCCCAATTACTGTTAGGGCAAAAAATGACTTAAATTGTGATTTTTTGGGCTCTGGTGTCATAGTGTTTGTTGATCCAAGTAAGTATTTGAATCATTTTTTAGTTTAATTTCGAACAGCTCAGTTGAAAATTTGTCGTAAAAAAATTATATATAGAAAATTATATAAAGTATATTGGTCACAAATTACTTTTTTCATACATGTAGGTTAATTCTTGAATACTCTCCGTAAAACTTCTGATTTCGCCACTATTTTCGAGTGCAAAAGAATTCTATACTATTAGAATCGAAGCGAATTCAGAATTTGAAATATATGGGTTTCTACAATAATCTATCATAGTTATAGAGCTTAAAGTAAAATATTTATAGTTATTTAGTAAATTTCATACCAGAAATATTGAGTTTACGTATATTCGTAGCCTGTCTCTTACATCACATTAAAGATATCATAACTTCTATATACTGACAAAGCGAGGTAAGCTAAAATGTACCTAATCTAAAAATATGACGAGTATCTTATTACTACAACATATTACGATACACTGATAGTATAACGCCGATTCTTTATATATTGCATATATAAATATAAATTATTTTCTATTTTTTTCCCTTTATAGTATATAGTTGGAACAATTTTCTTTTTATTGACAATTTAATGATGTTTATCTTTTATTTGTTGTAATTTTTTTTTGAAGAGATCGATTTAATTTTTTTTTTACTGATATATCCTTTTGGATTTTTTGATAATTTTTTTTACCCTTTGTCTTCTGACTCAGTATATTATTATGGTGTACTTCATAATCATAATTGTATAAGGACTTAAGTAAACAACAAAATGATTTTTAAACGTATAAAATCAATATTGGATTAGTAAAAATAAATGCGGGAAATGAAAGATGTTTAATTAATTAGCTTAAGAGATTAACCAATAATTAGTTTCAAATGGAACGTATAATCATGCAAATAGATATTGAAACTTTGATTGACGTGAATATTGATTTGATAATTATAAAATATATTATTTAATTAATTAGATGCATAATTAAAGAAATAATAGGGACTTCATATTGATAAGACATTTTAATTGTTTTCTTGTTATATTAATTAGAGTTAAACTAATTTATCTATCCTATTTAGAGATTTGCTTAAGATATCGCGTGTGCCTTTTCTTCTGAAACTCAGCTGAGTTGGATGATGTTTTCTAAATTTTGAAATAATAACTTTACGTTAATAAGACCACAATTCAAGCTAATATCGTTGAATATTATTAGTTAAATTTTTGTTCGAATTTTTAACTTTATTCAAATTTATCAATTCTTCTTTTTAATCCATCCTTTTAACGATCCGTCCTACGTTACAAAGTGTTACATTTTAACCAAACTCTTAAAGCATCGTAAATTCACTCTAACGATATATAAACAATTTTGTTTGTCAAAGCAATTAATAATAATTTCAGTACCCAAACAAAAAAAGTTGATTTTTTTTTTCAATTCTGTGACTATTATTTAAATTTTTGAATATATAAATGATTGCTAAATTCTAGGAGATTCGAGATTAGAAAAATAATAATAGTAATACATAGGGAAAATAAAATTTTGTCATTGAGCTACATTGGGAAATAATTTTTGGCCCACATAATAAAATTATCACATACATTTTTCCTAGACAAAAATATATTTGATACAACATATTATTTGTCTCAAATAAGAACAAAATCTAATATTATTATGTACATTTGAAAACTTCAAAAAATAAAATCTAAATATGTATAATAAAGACAAGAATTTGCCAAAAAATTGATGAATAAATGATGATTGAGGGAAATAGAACAACTATACAAATCACAAGAGCAATAGTAGTCACAAGAGCGTATCTGTATTTAAATTTGATTAATCTACGTAATATCGAAGTCAAAAATTTTTTAAAATAATAAATATATATTTTTAAAGATGCAAATTATATGTTCATAATAGTAAAAATATAAATGTTTGCTCATATTTATTTTTTTACATGGAGAAATAATTCATTCATTTTATTTTATTTTTATCTTTTGCCATCTCTTTGAAATGATTGATATATATGGTGCCTTTGAGCACAAACAAACTTAATTTATAAGACTTTTTTGTTGTCACAAAAATAAGTAGATGTCAAAAACCTTATCCCTTAACAAGAAGAACCACACAAATTAAGTAATTATTTTCCCTTTTCTTTCATTTCTTTAATCACTTTGAAGTAAAAAAATAAAAATAAAAAATTCATACATTTAATAAGATAGTTAGAAAAGTTTTAAATGGATAACCATGGTTAAAATGCTGGGGTAATTATAATTCGAACACTTGACGTTATAGAACGATTTCAAGTTGAATTTTTTAAATATATGTATATCTGTCCAACAAAAAGCATTAATATTCGCGTCATGTCAATTTTACATGAAAATTGAAGAAGAAAATAACGATCAGTACACAACATCATGCTTGTTATATAATATATAGTACATCCATTTTTGAGTTTGATCGATAATGACGTGTTTTTCAAAAAGCAAATTTACGAGACTTGTTGATCGAAAACGAATCATACTTTTATCACGAATAGATCAATACACAATATTATGCTAGTGATACAATATATAGTACATTCGTTTTTGAGTTTGATAATAACGTATATTTCAAGAAGCAAATTTATGAGACTTATTGAGCGGAAACGAACCATACTTTATCATGATTCTTATTGTTGTGTTTCCTTCAATAAAAAAGTATTTTGGTAATCATGTGAGCAAACAGGGTTGAAAGAGTAAAGTAATTAATAAGAATAATTTTAATCATTTTATTGCGTTGATAATCGTGATTTATGTCTACTAATAATAGATATATTGTTTTTATTTATTTATTTAGATATATTCAAAAATTGATAAATTAAATATAGGAGAAAGATTATAAGTAATTAAATTCTTTGTCCCAAGTTTACTCCATAAATAATCATAAGCTTTACCTTTTTATGTTTTCACTTGAAGTTTAAATTACTTCACCATAACTTGAAAATTATTAATCCAATTTAATCTGCTGTGAAAAAAAACAACAAGATTATTTGCCTTATTTTTAGGATTATCTAATAATTAATTTCAATTATGTTTGAGAATACCTTATAATATGCTTGATATTAAAGATTCGATTTTATGAAAGTATTACGCTCGATTATAATTTTGATTCAGATTATTTCCTTTTCTTATAATTTTTTTTATCGTATGCAGAATATTGACGTTATTCAATATAATATAAATTATACTTATATATTTATCGAAAGAAATAAAAAAAAAGCTCAAATTAATTTTTGAATTTTAATAAATATTTTAAAATCATATGACAGGTTCAACATGTGCACATTTCCAAGTTATAATTTATTTTATTTACTTAAACAGTACATTGAACTTTGAAGAATATTCTCAGTAGAAAAATAAAGGTAATATATATAAATAAAATATGTAATAGACAAAAAATAAAATAAAATAGATGTGACTTCTCTTCGAACTCCGTATAAATTAATAATTGTATAATTTGGTTTAATAGTCAATGATTTTAGTAAAAATTATAAAAAAAAATCAATATTTCAATCTTAGCAAAGATAAAGAAAAATTAATTTCTTTTGATGTACTTATATTTTAGTGATTTAGAGTGAAACATTAAAATTAGATTCAATAGCGATAAAAAATAAAAATCAAACAATTAAATAAAAATATTCTGAAACTAGCTCAAATACTATTATTATAAAAGGAGTAATAATATTGAGCATATAAAATAAAAACAAATTATAATTATTAAAGGAAAAAAAGGACAAAAGAAGTGGCATAAATCATAATTGTGAAGCTTTCACAACTTTATCTAGACAAAATTAAAGAGAACAAATCTTTTTCTAGTACAAAAGCACCCAAAAGATTATAATATATAAGTATTATTTTATTCTTAAATTTAAATAAAAAATTTCGTGTGTTATAAGTAAAATATTTTTGGTAAAAATTTAAATTAATCAAATTATAAAAGTCAAATACAAAATATTAATATATAGTTGGTTTGAATTGATTTTTATCTTATAATTTATACTTTTGATTTATTTTTAATTATAAAAGAAACTTAAAACCAAATATTTATAAGCATTTTCTTTTATTTTATCTAAATAACATAAAATTAATTTGACTTAAAAACACCTCAAATAATTCAGTCCAAAAATTAAAAAAAAAATCCATATGGATACAAAATAAAATAAAAATCACTTATAAATTTATTAATTTAGCTCAAAGATAACATACTTTATATGCAAAGTATGATGTCATTTAAACAAATCGAACATCTACCAAAAATATTTTATCGATATATATTTCATCGATAAAATTATTATTATTATTATTTTACGAAATCTTATATATTTAAAAAATAACATTTTTAAAAATGAATTTAGATTAATCAAATTTTACGAATTAAGAAAAAAAAAAATACAACCAACCATTTATGTAATGAAATAAATTAGTACAAAAATAAATATGGAATTTATGCAAAGTGGTATTCCCTTTACTTGTTATCATCATTACATATTATTATTATTATTATATAAATATATTTTTATATATTATAGTTTTTTTAAAAATAAAATTATCAAAAGCTAAATATTGTGTTCTTCTTCCTCATTTCTTCTATCTTCTTCATCTTCCATGGGAGAAAAGCAAAAGCTTAAAGAGAAAGAGAAAATCAAGAAGCAAAAACACAAACACCCAAATGATGAATCTCCAAAACCCACTTCAGATTTCACTTTTAAACCCATTTCCGATGTTAAAGGTCTTCGATTCGGCGGTCAATTCATCGTTAAATCCTTCACAATCCGCCGTGCACGGCCGTTAGAACTCCTCCGTATCCTCTCCCTTTCTCCGCCGTCAACCAAAAACTCCAGTTCTAGTTTCAATTTCACTTCAACTACAGCTTATTTACCCACAAATTTCACAATCTTAGCTCATCATGCTTGGCATACACTTACATTAGGTCTCGGAACGAAGAAATCGAAGGTGGTTTTGTTTGTTTTTGAATCGGAGAAAATGAAATCGGAAATCGATCGGGTTTGGCCGGTGGAGATTCCATTAGGTGAAGTGAATAAGAAGATGATTCGAGGTTTAACAGGTACTGAAATGGCGAGATTTAAGTTTAGAAAAGGTTGTATAACTTTCTATGTTTATGCTGTAAGAAGAATTGGGGATTTAGGGTTTACTTGTGCTGAAGATCTGAAATTGATTTTACAATCTGTTGTTGCACTCAAAGATTTCTTCGATCATACTGCTATGTTAGCTATGCCGAATCAGAGAAGTATCAATTTTCCATCGGAGATTCAACAAATGGGAATTGCTCATTAGCCGCCGCCTCCTCCTTCATCTTCTTCTTCTCCGTCCATTGTCGCTCGGATTATTTAAAAATGTTGATAAACTCAGTGATACAGAGGTTCTGAATCATCATCATGTCGTTCGGATTATTCAAAAATATTGGTTACCATCTGTTGATAATTCGAGGAGTTTGAGTAATATAGGTTTTTGAATAATCATAGCTGAGTTCTATTCTATGTTGTTCGGATTATTTGAAAATGTAGTTTGGATTCTGATAAGTACTTGTTGATAATTTTTAAAGAATCCGAGTAATATTGATTTTGAAATCATTTAAATTCTTTGTTTGGATTATTCAAACATGTTGAGGGATAAATTTGTGTTGCTTGAATTATTTGAAAATATTTTGGGATTTTGATATGTATACTGTTGAGTAATATCGGTTGTGAATCTATCATTTGCTATTTCTTGTTTGGATTATTTAAAAATGTTGTGGGATTCTGATACGTATATATTATATATTGATAAATTTGAAGAGTTCGAATAATATAGGTTATGAATCATTATTTTATCGATTCTCGTCTGTGTTGCTTGGAGTATTTGGAAATGTTACGAGATTTTGATACTTATGTGTCGATATTTTTGAAAGGTTCGGACAATATCGGTTCTGAATCATCATTTCTCGAAGTTGTTTTCAAAGATTAAACATATTGTTGGTGTAATTATGTGAAGAGTTCGAGTAATATTGGTTCTGAATAATTATTTATTTATTTTCGTTGGTGTTGTTTGAATTATTCAAAAATATTGTGGAACTGTGATATGTACTTGTTGATAATTTTGTCTTGTTCGAATTATTCAAAAATATTATGAAATTCTGATATGTACATGTCGATAAATTTAAAGGGCTCGAATAATAGAGGTTCTGAATTATCTTTTTATTAGTTCTCATCTATGTTGCTTGAATTATTTAAAATATTGCAGGATTTTGATATGTACTTATTGATAAAATTTTAAAGAGTTTGAATAATATAATTTTTAATCGCCGTTTCTGAAAGTTTTATTTGATGATTAAATATATTGTTAGTGTAATTTGTTTTTAGGTGATATAATAAGTTTATACGTGTTGTAATTGGAGTTTTTATTATATTTTGAAGGTTTTTGAGCTTAGTTTTACTAAGGACAATAGCATTTTAAAAATATATTTTGTAAAGGATAAATAAAAGTTTATGTCTAGTTATATTCAACTCTAACATATTTATTTTTAGTTAATTGAAGTGTTTGGTTTTTTAGTTTGTTGATGTAAGAAGTTTGATATGTCTAAACTATTCTTAGAATAATATTACTATTAAATATGAAGTAATAAGTAATAAAATAATTAATAATTATGTTAATTTATTAATATTCACTAGTAAATATTGCAATTAATTAAAGGTAAATATTATAAGAAATAAATAAGATTGTTTTAATAATAAATAATTAACTTGATCAATCGAGATACTAAATTTTTTTCTACAAATCATTTATAATAACCTTTAAGGTGTAACAATATTTTTTTTTGTAAGTTAATTTGTCGGTAAAATGAATTCAGAATTTAAACTTTGAATTCAAAATTATATTTATTAATTTCAAAATTTTATTATTTATACCTTAATACTTGTATTGGATGAGGAGTTCATTTCATTTTTTTTTTCTCTTTGTTGACTTGAAATATATTATAGATATGAAGAGGGATTTGTTTAATTTTTGTGGAAATCTTTTATACTCTCTTTTTTTTTATTATATAGAGATTATTTCAATATAATAAATATAGATTGAATATGACAGAGTTAAGAGTTCAAGAATTGAGATTGAAAGCAATTGTTTTGATTATTTAATGTCATTTAAATTATTTTGAATTTTTCCCAACATATGAAAAAGTTGACTATTTTAAGATCCAGCTCATGAATAAACATGATTGCTTAAATTATTGAACATTTCTAAAAAAAAAATTTGCTAAATTTTATAAATCATTTTCATGTGCTTTCCCACAAAAATTTAATACATTGTTGAAATCATTTTCTTATTTTAATTATAGTTTATGATTTAAAATCATATTTATATCTGAAACATATTTTTTCGATGTTAAAGGCATTCCGAAGAACAAGAAATATATGTATATATATATATATTTTACTGGTAATCAATTAATATTTATTTTTAAAAGTTTATTTTAGTTATTTTTTAATATCAATCTCTAGTAAAGGCGGATCAAATATATTGTGAATGATATACATAAACATTGAAATGTGCTTAGTTTACTCAAACTCTATAAATATATAATTATATTCGTGAAATATTTAAAAAATATATTTATGTGATTTAAATTATTATCACACATATATTAACTTAAATTATAATAAAAATTTATAAATTTTAAATTTCAAATCCATCTCGGAATATATGGTGAGTTAAATTGAAGTGTTATTAGCTAGTATCCTTTTAAGATGACACCAAAATAAATGCACATTCTGTTATTAATTTAATTTGATGATTTATAATAATGTCTTGAACAATTTTAAGAAGGTATTAAATAGGAGTATATAATAAACTTCATGAACAAAGACCAAATTTATGAAATTTAATTTGCTTTTTTTTTTTCTGTCATTCAAGTAATGTGAACTTTACTCTCATTCATGTGATTAATATTCAGGTTGTTCATGTGAACTTTATTACATATTAGATACTTCGCGTGATTTTACTTGTCATGTTTTTTATGTATTTTTTACGGATCAATGAAAGAGTGTTTGATTAAATTGTCCCTATTTATTCTCCGACCTCTATTTAATATTTTTTTTTTATTCTTATTTACTTGTTCATTTTTTACTTAATATGCCTATTTTAAAAAAATAATTGATATTTTAAATTTATCATTTTACTCCTATTAATTGATAGAATTCCAAAATCAATTTACTTATCAAAGAAACTCTTCCTTTTTCAAAAATATATATTCTCTCAATAAATTAAGGATATGATAGGTAAAAAAAAAATTAGGAAATTGTCTTTTTTTATTTGTTAAAAATGACAACTAAATATGGAAAAATAAAAATTTTCAACAAGCAAAAAGAGATAGAAGGAGTATCATATTTATTAAGGATAAAGTTGGTAGAAATAAATAGTTAATTATATCTTGATTTTTTAAAATAACAATTATTTTGAATCAACTATTTTTAATAAATATGATGACCAACATGAATCGGAGGGAGTAAAATTTTAAAATAAATAATCGGAATTGCCAATTAAGCATACGACGGTGAATTCTACCAAAATGGAGTATGGTAGAGGCAGAGAAAATTTCTCTTATATAACGATAAAATGCATAGAAATTAAAAAAAAATATCAATAACGAAAGCAATCTGCTGAATCGACATATTTTCATGAGCCAATATTCTCTTTCTTCAATAACTATTTCATGCTTGCATGTCCCATGCAATTTTTCTAAATACAACCTTTTAGTTGGTTAGAAAAATTGCCTATATTATAGGCAACTATGTATATAGTGTTATTAATATGTAGATATGTAATATCTACATCAAGGAAGTAGGGCATAGTAGTAAACACATCTCCACATGGTCATTTTTCCAAAATTGAGAGGTGGCTAATAACGGATTGAATCGAATTTGAATGAATTAGACTGTGTCAATATGAGATAAATTGACAAATACTTAATTTTGGGCCTTTAATTATGTTTTAAACAGTGTTTTAAAACTATTTAGTGACTTTTCACCTTTTAACGTAAAATAAAGTTTGCCAAAAATATTTTTAGTTAAAATAGATTCTTTTTTATTGGAGTTTGAATTTGATGAATTGCTTTTAGAGTTTCAATCCATAGAGGAAGTTTGAATTAAACCCCAACAAATTTATGAACTCCAACATATTGTGGTGGAATTTCACTTGTTAAAGCTTGGAAGCTTAAATACAATAAGGTGAAATTTCAATTTGCCGAATGTTTCAAATCGTATTTTAGTTAGGTATATCTTTACTTAATTTGTATTTGTATATTAAATAGTGAAAATCCTTTGATTACATTTAAAACAAAAGATCAACTTTAATTGCCGACTCAGATTTTTATCAGACCACCTAATTTTTACAATCAAACCAACAAACAAAATCATGATCCAGTCCGTCCAAGATTACCTGAATCAATTAAATATATGTCATAACTCAACTCGCTTAATATGACCCAATTACCAAACCCTCAACCCATTTATTTTGGTTCTTCAAAAAAAAAAGTACTAATTCTAAGTAGTTTGATTCTTTTAAGTTACATTATTTTGATTTAATAACATATTAGGTCATTTTAAATTTAACCTATAGAATTAAGTCAACAAACAGATCATAATCCAATCGTTTAAACATAAACAAATTAGGTAAAATTACTAAAAATGTATTATTTAAGTTTATTATCTCTACACAAATTGTTACCTCATTTTATTATAACTATCAAATTAAAAAAAATAAATAAAACCAAGTAATATATTGATGAAAAGGATGTGACCTTGATGATGATTATGAATAATTAGATAGTGAGGAAAAGTTAGCTAGAAGAAAATAATGAATCATGGGGGAGACAAGAAAAAAAAATATAGTGCCAACTCTTCACAACTTTATGTATACCCACAAAACACTAAAAGTGAAAAAAGATTAGAAAATGAATTTTAAAAGCTCACAACTTCAATTTTTTTTTTTTTAAAAAATATTATTCACTACCTTTATCTTTAATCATTTCTTGAGAAGGTCCCTCCAATAGAAACCAACTTTTTTTTTTGGTAGTTGTATATGAATTGGGATGTTTCATAGGTGTGGAATTCCACAAGGGATCAAAAATCTACTTTTTTTTAAAAAAAAAATTATTGTTATCGTTATTTATAATGAAAGTTGATGAATTTAAATTTGCGTCAGATGAAAATCAAAGAATGTTACTATAAGAAATAAATAAAGGATGACACAATAACAATAGTAATATATTTCGTGTAACCTCATAAGTGCGATATATGAAAAGAACAAAATAGAGAGATCGTTTTCGATAAATAATTAAAAGAAGAAGATGAAGAAAGATCAAGGCATGGCATACCCTACATTCACGGGGGTTTAGAAAGGGTCGAACTTTAAAGAAGTGTGATATAGACAGTCGACCTTGATGTAAACATTAATAATTGATTCTATGGCTCAAACTCAAACTCATGACTTATTAATTGTACGTAAATAATTCTCCGTCATTTCAAAATAAATGACATTACATGTATAGATTTAAACCATGCTTATTTTATTCATTTATTTGTTCCAATTTCAATCTATATATTAAAAATTAATATAAGGTAGTTCTAACTTCCAACTGCA